AACCCGGCGCATCCACCAAAATTTATAATCCTTTCATTACTTGTTTGTTTAATGAATATTTCAAGTGCTATTTTAAAACATGTTTTATTTTCCAATTAATTATAGTGACACTGTTGTGTTAAATTTTACTGCTATTACAAGCAATAAAATTACGAGTATTTATGAATCAAAAGTTCAACTTAAAATGTTTTAAACCTAATTTGAGGGAAATTGTCAATAATTATGCTAATTTTTATTGCGTAATAAAACGAGCTTAATAATGTAAATGTATCGTATATTAGAGCCGTCTTACTTTACCATGTGTAGTATTAAATCATACCCAAACGAGTCGTCTTACTTAAGTCTCAGGAAAATAAATATCATTAAATTTAAAACGGCAAAAAGTATTTTGAAAGATGTGCTAAAGTAAACATTGGACATAAAAACAACGTAAATGAAAAAAAAAAAGAAAACAAGTCTAATTTTCACAACAGGATGAAATAAATTTTTAAATTTAAAAAATGTGAATAAACATATTGGAATATTGATTTTACTCCCTTAATTAATCTGTTTACTGTGCTTAAACAAGAGGCATCTAACCGTATTTAAATATTAACATCATGCAAGTAAAATGAATTATTTTGTCAGCTTTAACAAAACACCAAATTAGTCCTATTGAAATTGTCCCGGCGCATCCACCAAAACGCATAATCCTCCCATCTCTTGCCCATATATCCGGAAGCGTGAGGTTAAGCGTGACTAATTATTTTGGTATCAGGCTGAATCCCGTATTGATAAATTTCTATAAGAGGTGAGTTAGGGCATTGCTAGGCTATTATACCCAGCAGTGGACATTTCCCACAGGATTACGTTTACACGTGACACGTCCTCGTTACACCCTCCACCATCATTATTTAAATTTATTAATGGAGTTTGTCGCAAAAATTTGAATTACGTTGCAGAGGAGGGGAAAATATGAAGTTTTTTGAGTAAATTTTTGTAATTTTTGTCTTGAGGGTTGATTTTGGTAGCAATTTTTGCGCGTAACACGAGAAAGCTTTCCTGCGTCTAAACTCCGAACAAATAGAACGCTCAAGTGGCCATAATGACTGAGTACACAAAATCTGCATAGTTCGGCGTCCGCCTCTGCCGCCCGAATGGGGCATATGCCCGTCGCTATTGCCTCATTTGCAACCTGCAGGTCGACTCTCATTTCCATAGAATAACAACCGTTGGCGGTTTGTCGGCGAACGCAGCCACTGCTTTTGGTGCTTCATTAATATTGCATGCTGTTATGTATTTGTTGGCTGTGATGGGCCCGTGCACACTCCTCTCGTAAATAAAGCGAATTTCGAGTGTGGTCTGTCTCGCGAACACACCCATCATGCATATTCCGGGGTTTAACCGAAGCGGATCGTTAATCAACGACGGTGACGATTTTTTTCCATCGTGTCGATATTATAAAGAGAAGAAATTGCAACTTACCGGCATAGTTTGGCTCCCGTGTAAGCTATTAATGGCCGCCTGCGCTTCCTGATGCGAACTGTATTTCACGAAAGCGCAACCTATAAACATAGAAAATGACACCATAAATTAAAAATGTATCGCCGAAATATGCCTTATTAAAAGTAATTTTTTACGCTACGATACTCGAACACCGGGAGAATAATTTGTGCGCATCGATCAAAAATAGAAGTAAAATTTTACTCAATGTTCACAATTAATAAATTAATAAAAGTTATTTATAACGATTACCACAAAAAACTAAATAAAGTTGGGCTTACCTTAAGCACTAGAGGCTGATTTATGTAAGATGTCGGGTCTTGAGAAAATAAGATGCAATACATAATCTTACATGAATCAGACTGTAGATTTCAGTGACCACTTTTGTCAATTTTTTTAATTTTAAGCAGGAAAACATAATTAAAATTTGCATATAATTTGAAATGCTTTTTTTACAATACAATAACATCTTTTATTGTTTTTTTTAAATTTTTTTCATACAAAAAATATTTTTAACAGTTTTAGTAAGTATAGCACAAGTGCTATTCGAATTTTTTTTACATTGTTTAAAAATATTATTATTTTTATTTTAAAATCATTTAACGATTTACATACAAAGTGTCCGAAAAGTCGCGCACCTCCGTGACACTGCATCATCAGGCAGGTGCCCTAAACAACAAGATATACAGGGTGCGCCAGAACTCGCGCCCCAGAGAAAATTTTCAAGTAAGGTAAGATATCAGGAACACGAAAAAAATGTTTCAAAAATTCTATCTGTCAAAAAATTTTGACATATATTTTTGGACATTTGACATTTTTTTATGTCTATTTAATGATATTGATGATCTTGTATATGTTTTTTTACAATTATTTAGTAAAGGAACAAAAAAATTGCCAATCAAAGCCACAAATAACATTGAACAGAGGATACAGGATAGGATACAGCTTTCTTGTTTTCTCTTTTGATGGTCTATAGCAAAAAGACTTGAAAAATTATTTTTCCAACAGAAATAAATAGAGTCAAAATGCAAACTTTAAACCCTCATAACTTCGAAATTTTTATAGATAAAATTTTTTTAACATTTTTTCCATGTTCCTGGTATCTTACCTTATATGGCATTTTTTATTGGGACGCGAGTTCTGGCGCATCCTGTATAGAGTGTTTAAAAAATGCCGCACTAAAACTATGGTATGGTGTCTAGAATTATTTGGTGAGTGAGGGAAAAGTATTTTAAAAAATCTTGGTTTTTATTTTTCTGCACAGTGGGGGTTTTGTGTAAGAATCTTCAAACGTAGTTCTTCTAAATTATCAATAATTATGCAAAAATCGATGCGGCAACGTTTAAAGGTAACAATAAATTCAAGAATTGAATTATTCGATGGCAACTCTCTTGATTTTCTCAAAGTAGGTATACCCAGTTGCCAGATTTACCATAAAATAAACCTTCATCCACGTGCAAATGTAACATTGTTTAAATATTTGGCCCTCTCACCAAATGCTTCTAGACAGCGTACTATAGTTTTAGTGCGTCATTTTTTAAACCCCACTAGGTTAAAAAAAATCTATAAAAATTTTTAAGTATGAGAGTATAAATTTTACATTTTGACACTATTTCTGTTGAAAAAATAATTTTCCAAGTTATTTTACTACAGGCTATTGGAAGAGGAAACAAAAAAGCTGTATCCCCTAAACTGTAACTGTTTAGTGTAATTTGTGGCTTTTATTGGCAAAATTCTAGTACCTTTAGTGAATAGTTACAAAAACACATATTCAAGAATTAGAATTAGAATTTTTTAAACATTTTTTCAGTACTCTGAGGGACTACCCAATTACTCCCTTTCAAGGAAGTGTGCGACTTTCCGGAGATCCAGTATAAGTTTTTTGAATTAGATGAACAAAAATAAAAAAATAAATAAACAAAAACTTGTTCAAACTAGTTTTTACTAATGTCTTAGCCCTGCAAAATGTCTAAAATAAATCTCGTTAAAAATTGCAAGAAAACAGTTGGTTTTGCTTGGTTCCAGGCATGGGACTTTATAGTTTTAATACGGCAGATTAGTTTTTTTAGTTTTTAAGAATGTTTTTATATTGTTTAAAATGACTTTTATAATTTAAATATAAAAAATCATTTAATTACTCTCACAAGGGTTTGTTTGTAAGCTGAACGACAAGTAAAGGACATGCAAAACGGTTAAAAACTGTAAGAAAATAACCGTTTTTTTTAGTTTGAGTTTAAAAAGTTTGAGTTTAGTTTTAACTGCGACTCAAGCCTTTGGCTTACAAGAACAAGAAAACTCAAGTAATCCAAACAAACTGGTTTTAATCGGTTTCTTTATTTGATTTCTATTTTTCTATAAAGTTTTTTTCAGTCACAATTAATTTGGGTTTTTCTGACTCTTTTAATTCCTATAGAATAACTAGTTAAACTAATTTAGGTTTTGACATAAAACTAAAGAAACTTGTTTAAAGTGACTTTTTTCATTATTATTTTTAACCAAGTTTTCAACAATTCTAGTTAATTCTAGTACATAATGAATATAAATTAAAATTCAGTCAAAATTTTAAGTAGATAGTTGGTAAAGAATACAAATATAAAAGAACAAACATTATTTCAAACCAGATTTAAACAATTTCTAAAGCCTGAATTATTTATAACAGTGTAGCTGAACACAAATTTGTGTTTGTCACAAATTTTTTTTTTTTGGATTCCACAATTAAAAAAACTAGTTTCTTTTAGCAAAAAAGATAAAAATAGTTTAAATTGACTTTCAAAGGTCTGTAATATTCGAAACTTAAAGTGTACATAATGAAAAAAATGGAAAAACTGTTTTCAAGTTTGAGTTAATGAAATGTAATAACATTAGCTTACATAATAAGTTAATGTAACTGTCTGAAACGTTCTAAGAACAAAAAGTTGAATTTTGTTTTAACTAATTTGACATCGCACTTTTTTCTTTGCTTAAGTTGCCTAATCTATTCTCTAAGTTTTACTGATAAATGGAGTTAAGTCAACTATTCTTATTTCTGTAACATTATCTGTAATTTGTACTCATTAAACAGCACATATTTAGTTTTAGTTCTGAAAGCTCTTCAGGTTTCATGCAGAAATGCCGAAATTTATATTAGTTCTAGTTTTAACAAGTTCGCTATCTATAGGTACGTAATTCCGTAAAATGAATATTTAATGAACTGGTAAATGTTATAATAGACTAATTTAATTGCAACTTATACACGCTGAACAACAGTTCTACAACAGAACACATGTTGAAATTTTTATCAAATGTAATAAAACTAATCAGGAATATAATTCAGTGAGGCAAACATAAACTACATTAATTTAGTCGTAGCCATGTTATAATTGTAACTATTGAGACCGAACTTCATATTCCTCAACTTTCTCTCAATTTCAGTTAGTTAAAACTTGTTTGTACATCCATAACTCTAATTAATAATTCTACATTTCAGTTTCGTAAAAACCCATTTAACCACACCTTCTCTCAAAATAAATCGCGAAAATTCAATGCGCGCCTGTTGAAAATGCAAAAACCTAATCCGCTCTTCCCCCAACTTCCGAACAAATTCCAATAAAAACATGCCTCAGTTTTAACGGAAACTTATTGAATAATCAAACGCGCAACAATTCTTAACTTCGGGGAATTATATTCAAGGAATATTCTCCAAGCGTTTTTAGTCTCAATGAGAAATTTTTGACCGACTTTAATCAAAGTGAATAAAATTTTCAGGGTTTAATAAAGCAATCAAATATAATTAGTTACAAGATATTATCACACATATTGACACAAGCAAAATTCACTTCTTTTCTAAAGATATGAATATTTGCGTAAATAACAACTTTTCCCCGGAATTCATATCTTTTTTCTTTGTAAAACACGTTGTTTACAAAGTCGGTTTCACCTCGTCCATAGAGTTAAACACTCTCCTTTTCTTTTATTGCACGTATGTTGGCAAGGCAGGTATTTTATGAGCCCCAGTCCCTTTATATTGGAATTCCGTCGAGTGTATTTAGAGAGTGGGATCCTCGGAGCTGCAATTAATTGGCGATTTTCACGAAACAAAGACTTGATCTCGTTTTAGAAATTAATGCACGGTGCGGTGAGCTCGACACTAAAGACGGCCCGTGTTTTTAATTTCAGGGTAAAACACTTATATTTGTGGTGGCAACTCGGGTAGAAACTTATAGCGTAATAAATAAGAATTGTGTATTCCGGGGTTCGCTTTGGAAGAACGTCCGGAGCGTGAAATATTCCAGGGCCTTTGATGATATCACCGATCGAGAGGGATGCCGGGAAAGAAATGAAAACGTTTGCGGTACTGGCAATCATCACGGGCTTTGTGGGTGGAAAGGATTGGAATATTAGTGCACTGGAGGGGTAAACAGCGAATTCGGGGAGGAATCTCGACATACATACCAGAATAACTCGATACAAGGGTTGGTTTTAATTTAAAATTAACGAAAATTTGGAAAACTACACATTCAAGGCAAGAAACAAGAACAAGAACAAGAAAAAACTTACTCAAAAATGGTTAGTGAAACACTGAAAAATAAATGTTTACAATTTTATTGTTGTTTTATCTCGACATACATACCAGAATAACTCGATACAAGGGCTGGTTTTAATTTAAAATTAACTAAAATTTGAAAAACTACACATTCAAGACAAGAAACAAGAACAAGAACAAGAAAAAACTTACTCAAAAATGGTTAGTAAAACATTGAAAAATAAATGTTCTACAATTTTATTGTTGTTTTACGAAAATTATTTCACACTTGTAACTATGTGTTTAACAATTTATTTTTGTCTAGGCAATTAGTAGTTATATTTAATAAAATGTAAAAAAATGTTTAGAGTAAAAAATAATGTTTAGAACAAAAAATTATCAATGTAAAATGCAGATGAATAACAGGCGTTCCAAAACAGAATTATTTATTGTTCAACGATTTCAATTTTAGAATGAAAATACGGTCAAAAAATTATTTTGTTCAAAATATGATATTATATTTTTTTAGAAGAAACAAAGCAAAAAATAATAAGAAAATAA